GCCATCGCACTAAATAATTGACTTGGCTGTCTGGGCTAAAGGCGTTACGACAGCACCCTATACCGGTCTTTTCTAGATTTTTTTAGTTTTTCCTTGATTCATACATTAAACACTACTTATATTCCAAATTTGAAGCTTCTAGGACTGCTAGAAGTGCCTTAGAACTTTGATGATCGGTGAGTCAGTCAGTGAGTGACAAAATTAAGAAATTTGACCCGTTAAGTATAATTCTTTAAATACTGGTTCAAATTGAATGAAATTTAAAACATACCATGTCTTTACAATGCCTGCATAGTTAATGAAAATTTCAGTCTTCTAGTTTTATCCACAACGAAGTTACAGGGGGTCGAAAATGGCGTGAATTGCTTCGAGAAAAGGATGGTACGGCCGTGACGCACTGCCGTGCCCCCAGATTGTTTTTTATATTCGGCGACAATGAAATTAGAAGATGTTATATAGCACTGACCCAAAATGCCTTAGGATACTAGAAAATTCATACCAGTATCGCAACAAACACATCAGATATTAATTTTAAAAAACCAGTCACGGTGAAATCACGAGAGTCGATTGCCTATCTTTCAATTTTCTATTTTAAAGTTAATGAAGTTTAAAAGTATTTTCCGGCTTCACTACAAAATGTTCGTTTAGTACGTCAACACAAACTGCATAAAAGCTTTTACTCGTTCGGTGATGTGTTCGTCATTCGCACGTCGCGTCGGTCCCATCGATTCCACTTCGGTGCAACTCGTTCATCCTTTGGGCTGCACCAGACTGGCTACTTTAATCCCAGTTGCAGAAAAATACCAATTTTTAGAATAAAAAATGTAAGACAGTGTTAGGTTAGGTTAACGTAAGTAGTTTTATCATTTTTGAGAATGTTCAATATCTTAAAACGGGGTGTCAATAATACATATTCACCCCTCTTTTGTATCTATTCACTTCCAGATTCCTTTTCACATTGTATTACCGTTACCTTGTTTTTTCTGGCGCACGCTACCTTACTAAACATGATAAATTCGTCTATCATATCGAACCGGACCGAATACCAGCTAGGCTATTCTGTAAGAAGTTAACTCAAACTCTTGAAGTTAGCTTGATCGCATTCTCGCCCGTCATTGGTCGAAATAATTGGGTATTTTCCAACTAGTCAAATTCAATACTCATTTCGAACTGACAAATACGTCAGTTTTCTATGAATTTTGTACAAGATTGTGTATTGTGACGTCACGTTTTTCTAGCGTCAAACAACATACGTAGTTTTTAAAAATTTGCTTGCAAAATACTAAAATTAAGTAGGTCATAAAATTAATTACTGAAAATGTGATTATTTTTTAATATTGTATTGTATTGAACAGTCGAAATAATTTAATTTTGATGAAGGCAAGTACCCAATTCTCACAACTAATGACATGGCGGACCGTGATCAAGTTCACTCCGATCTTTCGAATTGAAAGGTACAGAATAGCTTCGCAATTTGGACCCGAAACTGAGTCCGTAGCAATGAGCTATGCATTCGGTTACGGTAATAAGTTATCAAGCCGCGTGAATATTATCTAAGTCGTCTCACGACTATTACTATGTTATATGCATAACATAACGCCCTTATCCCCGAAGGGGTAGGCAGAGGTGCACACAGAAGTGACACCCACATTTCACTATTTATGTTATGAGTCCCATGTAATAGGGGGTGAGTCTATTGCCATATACCGGGCACATTTCCAGACTCCGTGCTACTACTAAGATTTTTTTTAAAACCCAGTAGGTAATACTTTGCCTGACCCGGGAATCGAACCTGAGACCCACTGCCCGGCAGTCGCACTTGCGACCACTCGGCCAACGAGGCAGTCTATTACTATGTTATAAAATGATAATTCAACAGAAATATACTTTAACACTCATTTTTACTTTTTGCACAAGTTGTCGCACGTCTGTATTGGCAATTTCAAGCAGAGTTTTTGAGCGAACATGCTCAATTACCCTCAAGGGATCACGGGATATTCGATCTTTTTGTTGTCCCGACCACCGACCGCCAGCGTAGGATTCGTGCTCTCCAATTTATGAACTTCACTGAAGATGGTCACTATGGGTGGTATCTATTCTGCATCACATTCATAAATGTGAACGTTTCTTTGTTTGGATGTTTGTCCGTCAATCGCGCTAAAACTACTAAACGGATTTTGATCAAATTTGGTATATAAGCAGGGTATGGGCTGACTTACGTGATAAGATTGATCCCGTAAAACAAAACAGGAATCATATTGACGAAGTCGCGGGCAACAGCTAGTAACTGTATAAATATGACTATTTTGTTCAAATGTTTTCTATTTCAATAGGCCTATTACATCGGACTCATAACATAAATAGTGAAAAGTGTGTGTTATATTGTACAGTGGCATTAAGTGCAGTGCAGTGCAGTTCGGGTAAAAAAGCGTGATGTGATATTATGTTACGTTTTCAAGTTTGTGCAATGCAATTATATCTAAACATTAGTTACTCCCACACGGTTGCATCTGCTGCTCAACTCATGTTGACCATGGCGTAATGTGATGTTTTATAAGTTATAACTTACGGTCTTCGTCAATCAATTTAGTATGAAACAATTTTTTTATGGCATAAGCTGGTAAACGGCATACGGATCACTTGATGGCAAGCAATCGGCGCCGCCCGTTACCGGCGTTTTGAAATTGGAAATTTGAGGATTGTGGAGGATTTGGGAATTGGGGAGACTGAGAAGGCGGGTAATTGCGCCTCCGGTAACCTCATTCACACAATGCAAGCGTTTTTTCACGTCATTGTTTGTGTTGGTGACTCAATTTCATTTGATCCAGTAGTTCCGGAGGCTAGCGCGTTCAATCAGTCAATCAAGTAAACCCAACCAATCAGCTACAGAAGTTAGTCATTTTTGCATTCAATATCATGTAATCTGGCATGTAACATATGCACAACAACACACAAATGAAATGGATGAAGTGACGTCATCCGATTTACTGCATCCTGAGATGCGCGTATATTTGTCCCGTGTGTGAGTGCAGTTGGGATTATCACAGGAATACAGACAATAGGCACATCGTCCTTCACTTCTTTCTTCAACAGAACTTCGGTTTGATTGGCTATCTATTTAAAGAGATTTATAGAAATAAGTTGACCTATTGATATCACGCTAAAACTACTAAACGGATTTTGATTAAACTTGGTATACAGGGCTTTTTTTTGAGTGGGGAAAATCATCGAATGACTGCTCCCGCCTGGGTAAGGCGGGAGAGAGTGTCAGACTCTTACTGACTAAAAACCACCCCGTTCCTTCTCCTGCGCTTCGAGCCGGAGCCCCGGTAACCCGTTAGGTTCTCCGCGACATACAGGCAGGGCTTGGGCTACACTTAGGTGACAAAATACTTTTTATCTTGATTAAATGCTCCCATGGGATAAAACAGGAATATGTGCACAAAGCCGCGGGTTAAAGCTAGTACATAATAATAATTTTTAAATGTGTTAGAACCAGTAAACAATAAGTAAAACAAAATACCTACTTAGTTATATGATAATATTATTCAATATTTTGTCATACTTTGCAATTGTAGGTAAAACCGCACATCATTCATTACTTTTCCTTATTGTAATTTGACGGATTGGGTCATTGAAGAAATATTGGGAATGCCACCGATTATAACTGTAACGGAAAATTTATATTGTGCTAGTTACCTATCATTCAATTTAACAATACAATTCTGTTTATTTTATTTATTTGTAACAATTACCTATAACAGGTTTTTGAAATTGGTTCATTGTTCGAGTGGTTGCAAGTGCGACTCCGGGCAAGCGGCCTCGGGTTCGATTCCCGGGTCGGGCAAAGTATTACTGGGTTTTTAAGAAAAACTCTGTAGTTGTAGCAAGGAGTCTGGAAATGTGCCCGGCATATGGCAATAGGCTCACCCTCTATTACAGAGGACTCATAACATAAATAGTGAAAAGTTGGTGTTACATTGTATAGTGCCATTAAGTGCCGTAACGTTCACCTCTGCCTACCTCTTCGGGGATAAAGGGCGTGAGGTTATAAAAAATAATTAAAACCATTTCATGATTCGACCGTGATTTAAACTCGTATAGTTTCCAATCCCACCGTGTGCACTTATGTATGCTACTAACCTCTCGTGTCACCAGTAAAAAAAAATTTAGTCTTATAAAATTACTATTCATGTTGCGTCTGCTGATACGTAAGGTACAATATACCCATGGAGTTTAAAATGACCAGGTCTAATATCTACGTACCAAGATCATAAAGCCCTTTTTTTGAGGGGCAAAATCATCCAATGACTTTTCCCACCTTTGGTTAGGCGAGTGGGAGTGTCAGACTCTTACTGACTAAAAACCATCCCGTTACTACTACTGCTCTACGAGGCGGAGCCCCGGCAACCCGTTAGGCCTTCCGCGGCTCCGTATCGGGCATCAGCCCTACTGGGCCCCATCTGTGGTGGTCTGATGGCTCTTTGAGGCGCGCGCGGAACGCGACGCGCCGTACGCATGGGTCTGGTTCTGGTCCGGCGGCGAGCTATACTTGCTCGCCGTCCGCAGACCCACACTTATGGTGGCCGGAGATCGTCGCGCGATCTCCGACGCCTGGAGTGTCTCCTGCGATGGCTGGGGCGTGAAGAGGTTCGTTCCCTCACGCGCCCCGTCTCCTCCTTGGCTAGCATAATCATAAAGTCCTTACCATTAAAAATGCAACATTATAACATAAAATTTTACTAGTATAGGACCAGTAGTTACATCTAGATGATAAAACCACGTCAATTATTTGTCCAAATGAGGGTTTTTGCATAGGCGTTAGAAGCCAACGCTTCTGTCAACACAGATATGTTAAAAGTTACCAATGGACTATTATTTTACTGAATCTCATTTTCTTTATTTATATTGTTTTACAATTAAAATGATTTCAGTTGCTAGTCGAGTCATCTAGTGGGTATAAAAACCCTCATTAGGTGTTAGAAAATTGACAATACATTTCAAAGTATGATGTGTATCCAACCTTCTTCTTCGCTTGAGGAATCGTCATTCGAAGGTTGCTCGTGGGTCCGTGGCCAACCCGAGTCAAAGAGTTTGGTAATTAAGAGGGTGGAGATCGCTCCGTTTATGGTTCTATTTCTCTTAGCTTTTTCACTTTCGTAGAGCGGTGCAAGCCGAACAACTGTGAAGTTATTTGAACGGTTGTGCTGTCCTGTAACAGAATTAATTTACTTCCTCACAAAATGTGCGTTGATACATTCACAAAGTTGTGTTATTAACTGCCATACTTAGAATAATTTAATATTTACTTAATCCAGTAGTTAGAAATTGTTTTCGGAACAAAATCGTTACTAAGGAATAGTTTAAGTAATTATTAAAAGTCTCTGAGTACGGCAGTAACTGTTTGTTGTAGCTACGGTGGCCAGCAGGTCAAGCTATCGTTTTCAATATCTCTAATCAATCAATATCAAATCAATATCTAAAATCCAATGAATATAGACAGATTGGAGCTATGTGGCGAAGGCAGAAAAGAATACATTTACCACCAACTGTACTCCTCCAACAGACGTAATAAGAGCTGATTAAGTGAATACACATGTAACAAAAACCTGGTAGTGCTCACTCTCTATATCTAAGGGCTCAGTACGAGTTTGTTTTATGTTTAAAGTAATCGAAATGAGACCGCGTTCGGCGCTCTGATTGGCCGGCTCCAATAAACCAAGCAATCACTGCGCCGAATGCGGTTTTGGCCGCTATCTCACCTCCCATCGTGTGATGTTCAATGTAGCAGTACGTGTAGCCAGTTAAGGCTCCAACTGTTACGGCGGTGGCAGTGATGGCGATGAGGACCAGGGTCACTGTTAAACAGACTTTCCAGCGAGGCTGACTGGGAACATAACGTATGGCGTATAAGTTAAGTCACTTAATCATAACATGGCATTGGTTAGGGTTGGTCGCACTATGCCACGTATGCACAAACAAAATTTTAAAATAATTGTAATCAAGGGGAATTCCCCTTATGTTGAAAGGTTGAAATCATCCAAACGAACAACGTGGAATAAATCAATGGGATAGGAAGTCAGGAGCCCTAAATATCTGGTTGGCTTAATCAAAAACCTGGTATCACCATTCATCTGTAATGGATTGTGGAGAATATAATCCGGTTACAGTTGCTTTCTTGAAATTGTCAATGTGCAACTAGCAAGGGAAAAGCCGAACGATCGTATGATAAAAATGCATACATATGGAAGTAGTAAGATTGCGTTTTTGATTCTGAAATTATCATAGGTCCTGAATTTGCAAATAAGTTCATTAAATCACAAGAAATCTAATAATTTTTACTTACTTTTTGAGCGGATCTGGCACATGGTCCACTTCTAATACGTTATATCCCAACATTGCAAGAAGTTTGAAAAATTAAAAATAATATTATTGTATTTGTAAATTATTATAAATATCATTCTACGGAGTGAAGTTTAAAAAATTAATAATATTTTTTTCTGTCAAACTCTCTGGAAGTTCCGAGGGCCAGTATTTACTTTAGTTCAGACTTTTCTACTCATGTAATAGTCCTTTATTTAAAAATGTAAAGTAATTAAATAATTATGTATGTATTTTATGTACATATTTATGTCACATGTATTTAGTTTAAATTACTTTAAAAAAATAAGATTAAAGTTCAAAACTATCGCAACCTTTTTTTTCATACATCTGTCAAATATTGTATTTTTATACTCTGTGTTCTATAATTTTCATATTATTATTTTATTTTATCGTCATTGAATTATACATTGACTTTTTGTGTTTTATTTATTTATATTTTATTTTTATTTTAAAGCGTCGTATTAGTGTTCAATATGTGTTGCGGGGGTGGAGGATGTGGAGGATGTGGGACCACCATTGGGAACTGGTTATATATATTCGAAAAGTAAGATCAATGCTTATTCTAAAATAATACCACGTCTTTTATTACCTACTTAAAAATATATTAACACGTTAAACGCCATGGGGGTCATCGGTGACCGGCGTTAGCGGAGGATTTGCCTTCAACAGTTTTTTATTGGCAGTCAAAGTCTTAAAATGTGCCTGTAAGTTACGTTATAGTCCCAATTTTACCCATAGGGTAACTCAAGTGATTTGTAGTTGCATTTGTGACCACCCGGAATTTTTATTTTGACACAAATATCACAAAGTACTTGTGTGCGACAGACCATAAATATCGTAAAAAAACGTATTAGTTACATAGTAGGCTCACCCCCTATTTATTACATAGGTATCTAATATCATGGGGCCATAATAAACTTGGTAAGTAGGTGTTATCTTTATAATTATGCGCATTTAATTTTAGCAACTTTGCTTAAAAATATTACTTTTTTTCAGATTGGCGTCATTTGTGGCCTTAACAGCAGTAGTTATATGCCTTGTATTGACACTGTGTATCATGTTGGGCCTTGGTATAGGCCTTGGGTACAATTATTGCTACGTCGACTTGAAAGTTGTGAAACGTGAGTATGAGCTATCTTTTCAAAACCGCCTATGTGTGATCCTAGAAGCTAAAAATACCAGGGATTCGGAAAGAAGGTGCACGGCCCATACAATACTAATACCCAGTTAAGAATTAAAAAGTAAAACTTGTAGTTAACTTATTTTGTTCTCGTACTAATTTTTTAAACTTCTTACTACTGGCAGTCATACCATGATTGGTGATTTCAGCGGGTTCAAGTTCGGGTTCAAGGAGATCAGGCCAAGAGCTCGATGAAACCAGTTTGGAGACACAGGACTTCAGGCGAAATATGGAGACAACTGCCCCATTGCCTCAGAGGACCGTCACCTTGCCCACAATCAAAGCAACGATGCAAATACCCCTTAACGGAGAGATTGATCTTGCAGCACTGTTTTCTAAATTAAGGGGACGGAATAGAAATGTCACCTTAGAACTTGTCACGTGATTCTTTTGATCATCTACCAGTATTCGATATGACGCTATTATTTTTTTTTAGATTTTCTTTATTTCTTTTTCTTGTATTTTTTTTGCTACTTGCACTTTGTTTACCTACTATACACTACTTTTGTGAAATGATTATATTGGTTTTCCTTTCTAAGTTGTGTTTTGACTATATAGACATTTAGTTTATAAAGGTTGTATTAACAATTTTCAACGGGATTTTAAATATTGGGATTGCGGTAAATAAGTAAAAAAGTTATTTGATAGTGGGCGATTTGGGCCGTGAAACGTTCCAAAATTTCTGTTTTTTGATGAAGAAAGCAGTACTTGTGATCTCGGCGTGACACTGTGTCGTTCAGAGTTTCCTCTTTCTGGACATAGGCTAATACCAGTTGTATACGACCTACAGTTCCCTAACGTGTGGTTCTATAGTTATTTTTTATACCACGACGGTGACAAAATGCACCCGGCCCACCTGATTCTAGTACGGCCGCGCTCTCCAACACGACCGTCTATTTACTCTTTGCAATCTCAATGTTCTTTGGCGCCTGCACTGTGTCTGTCTGTCACTGACAGAATGTCGCTCGATGATCCAAGAAGTTTAACACATAGTTTAACACACCTTTATTTTTAATTCTGTCAAAACCAAGTCAAACTATGACACATAGATGTCAAGTTTACTCTTTGTTAGTGAGTGAGCCAAGCAATAGGCGTGGTGTCTCATATATTTTTAGCTTTTATAGCTGTATTTTCAAAACACACGTAATTAATTCAACTCTATTCAAGATGGGGGTGGCAATAAGTTGTATGTCTAATATTATGTACTTGTCTGAAAAGTAAGTCTGTTTATGCGCTTTGAGCGCTATTGAGTTTTGTAGCTTATAATGTAAGTTGATGATGAAAACATTGTGGCCAAACATTGCGAGAAATGTTCTTAATGAAGACACTAAGATCATGCGCATCAAGTATTTTTACTCGAGTTCAGTCGTTGAGGGTATCCACGAGCGAAGTTGATTGCTTACCACCAGTTGATATTATTCCAGAAAAATCTTACTTGTGAAGAATATCACAAGTGGTTCAAAAATTGCACCTAACTGATCTGTTTGGGGTTATTTTAATACATTTAATACTTTCTTTGTTTGTGTTTGTGGGTCAGTGAATATCCTGTTTTACAACTAGGGCCTTTATTATGGTCTTGTAATGATAGATTTGTATATGATAGATAACTTATTGTTCGAATTCTAAAATTGCAATTGTATATTATTAGATATAATAATGCAGACTACGTGTATACTCTAGCAGAATATCCACTAAATAAAAGATTTTTTACTAAGTTGGTTAAAATCGCTATTGTTTTCAGAGTAATACTGTATTCCACATGTGTGGGATTGGTTTCATCCGTGATACTAATGTTCGTTGTAACATTGGGTATGGGTATCGGTCTCGGATACAACTATTGCTTCGTCGATATGAAAACTAAATATAAATATGGTAATTATATCGGATTACTACATAAATAAGAAAATAACTTAAAAAACGAACTTAAATGGTACCATTTTATGTCAAAAAATGTGTACAAATAAATACCCTTTAAATATAATATTTATTTTAACCCTGATATTAATTTTTTCAGTTATTTGTCCCATTTATACATCTTTTCCGACGAAATATTTTATTAAAATTAATTTCTTTTCCGACTAAATATTTTATTAAAATTGATTTTCCGACTAAATATTTTATTAAAATAAATTTATTTTAACCCTGATATTTATTTTTTCAGCAATTTGTCCTATGTATACATCTTTTCCGACTAAATATTTTATTAAGATTAATTTCTTTTCCGACTAAATATTTTATTAAAATTGATTTTCCGACTAAATATTTTATTAATTTCTTTATTTTTATAGTACCTGGTCATTACGTTTACCCCCACAATCTTCGCTATCCCTACTATCGTAGATCTGGAGATCAAGGACAACAAAATCAAGGGGACCAAGATCAAGCACTACAAGAGGATGCTACTTTAGATAGGGCTGCAGAAGAACAAAAAGAAATTGACGACCTAAGGGTTGGACCAGTTACCCCACCACTGTATACCCCTGTTGACAAACGTGCTGAAATGATAAAAAAACTTGGTTTAATTAGTAGAGACTACTCTATTTTCCCAAACAGTACAACAGAAGCGTATGATTTTGATAATGAAGAGGATGTTACTAATACTACAGTGGTAGAGGTTGATATTGGAACACAGTTTGATAATATTACTGCTGCTACTGAAGGTACTGAAACTACTGAGACTATCACAACAACTGAAACTATTGAGACTGAAGAGACTACTGAGACATTTGAAGCCACAGATACAACTGAGGCTATTGACAGTAAAACTGACGATATGTACAGTGTAGAAGATCCCACACAGGAACCTGCTTTTCCAGATGAGAAAAGAAGAGTTAAAAAGCTAGTGATTCCTATCAGCGGTTTGGACCTAGTAAGCCTCCTATCGAAACTGAGCGCTGAAAAAAATAACCATTCCCTTCAGATTGTAACAACTTGAATTTAAGATATATACAAGTATTTTTCTATATTACTTTATAGTATTTTATATAAGAGTTTTGTAGTCTACTTTTAATTATGTTTTTAATTTTTAGAAGTATTCCGTTTTCATTGTACGAGTACTTCCATTATCAATTTTATTTCGATTCTCGATCTTATGAGAATATACATTCTATATACTCTTTGTTTATTTCTTTTTCTTTGTTTCTTTTTTACTTTAGTTTAACAGATATTAAATTGGCAAGAGTGAACAAAAACCAAAAAAGTACTGACGTGTATAAATATTTTGTAGATTATTTGCAAAAATAAACAATTATTTCAATAATTTTAGTACCTTTTAATACATTGACGAACAAAGCTCGATTAATGACCATGGACCGTTTTTCGCCACTTTCTTGTGTTGAGAAACTTTGATTGAGTAATCTTCTAAAGATCGTGTTATTGAATGAATTACAAAGTGTTTGGTTCACAAACACTTTAAAATTTATCGGAATCGAATTATATTCTAACTGTAGTACAATATGAATAATTAATAAAAAACAATGTGTTCATATTAAATGTCAAACGTACCTACTATACAAAGTCAATTATTGATTAGGAAAGTTAATGTGGTGGGATAAATATAAAAAAATGCTATTAAATTGTCAAAATATTTTGTTATGTTCGGATATCCAGTCTCCTATTTGATCGTGTCATCTTTTTTTGAAAACCCACTGTCATCTCAATAACCAATTGAAAATCGTCATCTACATGGCGAATGTTCTCGTAATGCAGCTGATGTTGAAGAACACCATAGCCCAAGTACAGGCTACAATGATGAGCTGATCGATGTTGCCAGGGTTACCAGGGCTCTGACTCGAAGCAGAAATAGGAACGGGGTGGTTTTTAGTCAGTAAGAGTCTGACACTCCGCTTCACTTAAGGCGGTAGGAGTCAATAAGTTCGATAATTTTCCTCGCCCCCTTAAAAATAAGGGTACTTGACTGCCTCTTTGGCCGAGTGGTCGTAAGTCCGACTTCCGAGCAAGGGGTCTCGGGTTCGATTCCCGGGTCGGGCAAAGTATTACTATTTTCAAATATTCTCAGTAGTAGCACGGAATCTGGAATTGTGCCCGGTATATATGGCAATAGGCTCACCCCCTATTACATGGGACTCATAACATAAATTGTGAAAAATGGGTGTTACATTGTACAGTGGTATATTGGGCACCTCTGCCTACCCTTTCGGGGATAAAAGGCGTGATGTTATGTTATGTTGATTGAGCTATTGGATTTTGAATAATCACTGAAACACTGAGTACAAAGCGAGAACGTTGAAAAGAAGACGGACGCAGTCTCTTGAAATAATTACTGTGGCACCTGGCTGCTATAGATTTAAACTCAGAATACACACACATTGACACGAAGGACATCTGTCGCGTGACATGACCCGTCATTACACTTCATACATTACGGTGTTGCAAGCATGTACCAAGGAGTATAGTATTGTTCTCTCTGGTTTTAACTAAAGAGTACACATTGGATAAGTCATAATTTCTTCTATACTTATTATACTCTTTGGTCTCAATACAGACGTTATACGTCATAATTTGACATCGACATAATAATATTTTTATACACAAGATATTTATTTTGTATTAGAGTTTTGTGAGTATTTGATAAGATTTTACAATATTCATCAATGTATCAGCGATCAGTGTATACGAATAAATCTTTAGCTGAAGATACTTAGTATGATATAGTTTGACGATCGTGGTAATGCGTTATTTAAGAACATGTGGTTTGTTTTTCTTGTATTACATAAAGTAGCTAAATACATATAAAGGTACAGTTCAGAAGATTGATTTTTTTTAATACATTTGGAATTACATTTACAGAAGTACATATGTACGTTTTCAATGCAAAACTTTACCTAAATTGGAAACGAAATGGTAATCGTTATGGCTATAGATACCAAGGAAATTAGTATATTTTTTTAAATAAAAAAGATGTGAATTCATAATAATTGGGCAGAAAAACCAACTCTCTTTACAGTGCCTATTTTTTTTCTCTTAGCAATCGCCTCTAGTTCCTATTTTTCTTTATATAATGTTTCGTGTAGGTAAAAAAATTGTAAAGAATTTGAAATTATAATAATAACACTTCCCAGTTGATGGCTTTTGAACCCTCGCCATCGTTCAGCGATGGCGAGGGTTCAGATCTTAAGAGAGCTATAAACATAACATTTTTATAGCAATACTCTTGACTAAACGACTTTTAATCTAGTCGGAAGTAGATAAATATTATCTTCGAATTTCATTCCTATCGCCATTATTACAGTTTGTTTTACATTATTTAATAAAGTTACATATTTGTGCATAAAATAGAAAAGCGTAGGTACCTACAAATACTATAGTCAGAATTTTAATTAGATTCCAGATTTGACAATAGCTACTGTCATTTTGTGAAATAAT